TTTATTTATCCATCCATCAAGTTAGAGGGGTGACTGCATTCAATTTCAATTTCATTCCAATTCATTTTTCACCGGTAAATTCAACCGCTCTTATCTATGGAATTTTACTGATCGAATGGGCTCTTCAAGTTCTATCCAGAGATCAAATTCCGGCATTTCTAGAGAGATTCCGGCAGAAATTCCAGTAAAATCGCTATTTTTCTATATGAATTGTTTATTAAGTGGGCGGGGTTTAGAGTTGAGGGGCGGAGCTTCTTCTAAACTTCTTCTCCGATTTTTATTTATCCATCCATCAAGTTAGAGGGGTGACTGCATTCAATTTCAATTTCATTCCAATTCATTTTTCACCGGTAAATTCAACCGCTCTTATCTATGGAATTTTACTGATCGAATGGGCTCTTCAAGTTCTATCCAGAGATCAAATTCCGGCATTTCTAGAGAGATTCCGGCAGAAATTCCAGTAAAATCGCTATTTTTCTATATGAATTGTTTATTAAGTGGGCGGGGTTTAGAGTTGAGGGGCGGAGCTTCTTCTAAACTTCTTCTCCGATTTTTATTTATCCATCCATCAAGTTAGAGGGGTGACTGCATTCAATTTCAATTTCATTCCAATTCATTTTTCACCGGTAAATTAAACCGCTCTTATCTATGGAATTTTACTGATCGAATGGGCTCTTCAAGTTCTATCCAGAGATCAAATTCCGGCATTTCTAGAGAGATTCCGGCAGAAATTCCGTTAAAATCGCTATTTTTCTATATGAATTGTTTATTAAGTGGGCGGGGTTTAGAGTTGAGGGGCGGAGCTTCTTCTAAACTTCTTCTCCGATTTTTATTTATCCATCCATCAAGTTAGAGGGGTGACTGCATTCAATTTCAATTTCATTCCAATTCATTTTTCACCGGTAAATTAAACCGCTCTTATCTATGGGATTTTAGGGTACATGGAACATAGAGGTATATTCAATTATTTCTGAGCGGGCCTGTGGATACCAGAAAAGGAATGAAATATCTTTCAAGGAAAGCTGGAATTGATCCTCTGACAGATATTCTTGCACAACTTCTACTTTGAAAAAATCAGCTTGGTCCTCGGCAATCGCCGTACCTCCTCTGCGTAATCTTTGCTTCCCTCCTCCATTGCTCTCCAGCTGCCACTGCAGCACCTTGAGGAATGACCAAAAGTGTGTCGTAGAAGTTTATACAGCCGTTGAGGTGTTATCACAATCATGCCATTGCAAAACATGACATGGCAAGCCTGCGAGCTAAGTAGATTTGTTAGCGGCTTGTTTATTCCATTAACTGCCTTATCACTCACTTCATTTTGCGGACAAGCACACAGACAAACTTACAAGCAAATCAACACACTAAATTGTGATTTATATAATAAAGTGATTTCAAAGAATAAATGTGTTGTGTCCTTCGGAAGACGGTCAGTAACAGAATATTTATTAGAAGACATTGAACTGAACTACAATGAAACTGTACACTTATATACCGTACTGGCCCGCCAGATCTCTGGTCAAAATCTAGCAGGTCGCGTAGGTTACAGATCAAGTACAAAAGAAAGAGATCACATGGTGTCCCAACACCTCCCCCCTAAGATTGACGGCTCTGGTACGACTTGGCGTACGGGTCAATCTGAAGGTAATCAGGAGGGCGTCGAGTGCGGCTCGATCGTCGTCCGGGTGCGGTGGTCGGAGGCTCCAAGGGTGTAGTTGTCGTCGTCGTTGCCGGTGTAGTCGTTGTCGTAGACGGTGCAGTCGTGGCCTGCTAGACGGTGTACGGTGCATCGGAGACAACGGTTGCGTCAGCGTCCTTGAAGGCGATACTGGTGTGGAGTTGAACGGCATATCGAACAGCGTCCATTAGGTTGCGTGCATCTTCCGGCGAAGCACGTGGGCGTAGTTGATTGGCGTGGCGCTTCCAGATGGATTCTTGTACTAGGACGTCGTAGAGCGTTCGGCCGTGTCGTAGTAGAATGCGTCCAGGAGACCATCTGGGTTGTCCGGAGCGGAAGTCGCGAGCGTAAACGAGGTCATCTGGCTCAAACTTCCTTGGCTTGGCGCCGTGTCGTCGGTTGAACTGCTTCTCCATGGCGATGTCTGGCCTAGCTTCTGGCGCATGGCTAGGCTTCAGCAGGTCCAGCGTGCTGCGGAGGCGTCGACCGATGAAGTTTTCTGCGGGGGATCGTCCATCGGGCGATGCGGTGCACGGCGTGTTCCTGTAGGTGAAGAGGAATGTCTGTAGAGCGTCCACGGTTGGTCCATTGTTCTTCATCTTCCCCAGTGAGCGCTTGAAGGTGTCGACGAAGCGTTCAGCTTGTCCATTTGACTGGGGATGAAACGGCGGCGACCGGACGTGCTCGATTCCTTTACTTCTGCAGAAATTGTGGAACTCCTCGGAGGTGAACTGAGTTCCATTATCCGAAACGATGATCTTGGGAAGTCCGAATGTGCGAGGAAAAGGGGGGGGGGGGGGGGGGGGGGGGGGGGGGGGGGGGGGGGGGGGGGGGGGGGGGGGGGGGGGGGGGGGGGGGGGGGGGGGGGGGGGGGGGGGGGGGGGGGGGGGGGGGGGGGGGGGGGGGGGGGGGGGGGGGGGGGGGGGGGGGGGGGGGGGGGGGGGGGGGGGGGGGGGGGGGGGGGGGGGGGGGGGGGGGGGGGGGGGGGGGGGGGGGGGGGGGGGGGAGTTCCCTTAGTGTGGCGGTACTGGTGATGGACTTCAGGCCATTTGGAGAAGGCGTCGACGACCACCAGATAGGAAATCCCGTCCACTGGGCCGGCGAAATCGATATGGATCCGGCTCCATGGCGCATCTGGGCGGGACCACGAACAAAGCGTATTTTTGATGGGCGACTTGGCAGCTTCCTGGCAGTTGGCGCAGTTGCGAACGAGCTTCTCCAAGTCGTCGTTGATCTTCGTCCAGAATACGTAGACTGCGAGCGAGGGCCTTCATCCGATTCATTCCTGGATGTCCTTCGTGGAGTGCCTTCATAACGGTCGGCTGGAGTGCAGGAGGGATGATGATTCGGCTCCCGAAGAGTAGGCATCCTTGCTCTGTCGAAAGGTCGTTGCGCAGGTGGGCGTAACTGGCAACGGTAGGTGATGGCTTCTTCGGCCAGTTGTTGTGAACTACGTGGTCTAGGACTTGACGTAGGCAATCGTCCTCAGCGGTGGCACGTGCTACATCGTTGGCAGTGACCGGTAGACGGCCTACATTGTCGTAGAAGATGGCGTTGACGTCCCTGGCGATTTTGGCGATTATAACGTCTTCCTCTGGAGGCGATTGAGCGGAGATGAGTCGAGAGAGTGCGTCGGCCTGTCCGAAGTTGGTGGTGCTCCGGTACTCGATGTCGAAGTCGTAGGCGAGCAACGTAAGTCTCCAGCGTTGAAGGCGATTCGCCGAGTAGGCAGGGACTCCTTTCTTCGATCCGAATATAGCCAAGAGTGGTTTGTGGATCCGTGAGAAGGGTGAAGTGGCGTCCGTAAATATAGCGGTGAAACTTGCGCACGGCGTAGATGAGTGCGAGCCTTCCTTCTCTATTTGACCGTAATTCTTCTCTGCGGCAGTGAGAGAGCGGCTAGCGTGGTAGACAGCTTTCTCTGTTCCATCCGGGTAACGATGAGAGATTACTGCTCCTATTCCATAGTCTGAAGCGTCGGCCGCGATGACGATTGGCAGATTTGGGTTGTAGTGGGTAAGGAGCAGGTCCGAAGCGAGCACTTCCTTGGCGCGTTCAAGATTGTTGAGATAAGATTGTTTTCAGATCGCGCAGGAGCTATTAAAACGGGAAGTGCTCAATTATGATGATGTCAGGAATCTCATTGGAACACCGCCTCATGGCGAGAAGCACGTTGTCGAGCTGGTTGACAACATTCTGCCAAAAGACGGAGCATAACTCCAGTATATATGGGATAGACCTTGCTCTATGAAAAATAAATCTATTAATGTGCTTTGTACAACAACTATGGAGATTTGGTCCGCCGGGCAAGCTACCCTAATTTCCAGTAGATTCCGGGCCGATGTCACGTAAAAAGACTACCGTAACTTAGCCCAGAAGGGTAATTCGACGCTCCGATTCGAAAATGACATTCAATTTTAGCGGTGCGCCATCTGGCGCCAGTTGGCGTCACCTTGTCACGACACCTGTTTTCACCAAATTGATGTAAACTTCCGTATAGGGATTATTTGGTGTCTTGGGAATATGAGATTCACTCTTGCCGCTGGTGCCATTTGGCGCCTATTGTCCACCCTCCTGGTTGGGTCGGGACATGTGCTTTGAGGAACGCTAATGCCAAAACGAATGACTGTTCGTAATGAGGTCACCAAACAACCTAATGACAGAGTAACACCAACTGGCGCCATATGGCGCCATAACAATAAACGAGCACTTCTGCTGTAGTAAGGACATCGAATTACCCCTGTGGGTGAAACTACGGTAGTCTCTAACGCCCTCACACTGCACGAGCCAGATGTTTTTTTACGTGACATCGGCCCCGGCTTCCGTCCAGGCTTCGTCATGCCGAGCTCGGATCGCGCAACCTGGGTGGTCGCTTCGGCAGCACCTTTCCAAGTTTCGTCGACAGTCGTTACCGCTGGTAATCGAATGCGGGAAACGACGGCCGCTTCTTTCTCCTTCAGTCGCCACCACTTGA